TAGCTTGCACCAACAGTTGTACACAGAAGCAGTTCCGGGAGCATGACGTATGAGGTCAGCGTTGCGCATGTGCCAGTGAGTCTCGTGAAAACCAACGTTTGTTAACAGGAGCAAGGGAAGCAAAGTTTCCTTACTTTAGCAAAGAAAAAACAGTCTCCTCTTGGCTTATATCGAAATCCTCTGACATTCTTCTTTACAAGTCCTCGTTTTGTAAATTTGAAAATTGATAAAAAAATTTGTTAAATAAACATACTTATACTTTAGATGACAAAAGTATTTTTCACGCGCAGCATAATTTAAAATCACGAGTTTAAAGTTTGTCGATCGCACTTCTCCAGTGAAGCTGAACTCTCCTCCTGTCCGCATTCAATTCTCACGGATCGACCGTCACGCAGAGAACACGCGATCATGCAGGATAAATGCACACTTCACAAGATCTCACAACTGGATCCGACTAAGTTTGCAATGTTCATTAGTCATTCAAAGATTTGTTTAAATTATATAAATCCGTATTTGCTGAATGCTGACGGCAAACAATAAAGTATTATAATGTTTGCCTTTCTATTACTAATAATATAAAAGCAGTCGTTATAATACTTTTTGTATACATTTTAATTCCTTTGTTTAACCGTTCTATCTAATTATCAGACAGATGTATTAGATAATCAATATTAGACAGAACTGAACGACAACAGCGAACAAGAGGGAGAATGTAAGCACTGTGTGCTCACGTGCTGCTGTTCTCCGCGCTGCCAAAATAAAAGTCCCGCCTAGAACGCATCGGCCAAACAGGAAAACTTCATACCTCAGATACTCTGCCAAAAAAACCCCATCTGTTTGATTTTGATTATCATGTCTATCACGCTGAAATTATGCGTTTAAAATTCATATCAGTTTAAAATTCTGATATGTTTTTTTTTGAGTGCACACATCCGCAGAACGCACACAGAAAAGGCTGTCACACGGCATGTGAATACTCTCTTTCATTTCTTATTGTGCTTAAACTGTCAAATACACACAAGTTTGTTAAAAACAAACATAAGTTACAAAAACACAGTTGGTTATGTCTGTGAAGGTAAACAGATGGAAAGAAATTGCATGTTTATATTAGGGATGTGTGGGTCTAGTCGACTAAACGGTACAGCTCCTACTAGTCAACACTGAAAACAATAGTCGATTACACGACGGAAAAAAAAAACATGATTTTATCATTCAAATTACCATTTTAACATTGCATTTAAAACATTTTAAATAAGTTAAAATAAAACATTTGAAAAATAATACATTATTTTTAAAAGTGTATCTGGGCGTAAACTACATTTTTACCTCAGACCTCTCATGAGTTTTCTTCGTGTTAGTTGTGGCAAGCTCAAAAGTGACCACGTGAAAGACGAGCAAGGTGTGGGATTATTTTGAATTAGAAGGAAACGGAAAAGTTTTGTGTAAACTGTGTCATAAAGCGCAGCATAATTTGAAATCACGAGTTTAAAGTTTGTCGATCGCGCGTCTCCAGTGAAGCTGAACTCTCCTGTCAGCATTCAATTCACACGGATCGACCGTCACGCAGAGTACACGCGATCATGCAGGATACACATGCACACTTCACAACTCATGCAGGATCTCACAACTGGATCCGACTAAGTTTGCAAGGTTTTTGAAATTAGATGTTTATTAGACATTCAAAGACTTGTTTAAATTATATAAATGCGTATTTGCTGAATGCTGACGTCAAACAAGAAAGTATTATACTGTTTGCCTTTCTATTACTAATAATATAAAAGCAATCGATATAATACTTTTTGTATACATTTTAATTCCTTTGTTAGGCGTTAGCTTAGAGACTAGCCAAAGCCAGCTAATGTCAATCACGTCATTCACTACAGCCCGCCGCCGCTGTGATCCCGTCCGCTCCGTCTATTCCTCTAACGAAGACCCACTTCGGTGGTGGTGCGGGATGTCCAGGCGCGTTCCGAAATTCTGTTGGCTTGCTTTTCGTTATCTCTGCGTGCCTGCGACTTCAGTTCCTGCAGAGCGCGTTTTTCCAAGTGCAGGAATTGTTAATCGCCTCATCTTTCTTTTTGTTCGTTTTGTTTTTAGATGATATAGCCTACATGATGAAGTATGTTTTTAAAAGCCGTTTTAATGCTATTCCTTGATAAAATTTCCTATTGTTTTTGACTTGTGTTTTAATATGTTGGCTAACGTTATATGAAGATGAAGAATTCTGTCAGGCTATTGATTGATTTTCCATTGTTCTGCATTTCCCCAGCTGATTTTAATAAAAAAGCATTGGTTGACGTTGAGTGTGTGCTCTTCTTTTTTTTCTTTTTAACGACCGCCTAAAATTAAATGATGATAACGCGAGGCAAGCATAGGCTACGGCATAATTGTGACCTATTTTTAGCAGAATTCATTGAGGGATTTGACAGTGTGATTCATAGATTACGTATTTCAAATGTAGGCTATTATATACATGCACAAAGTTTTTTTTTCTTACCATCTTTTGGGGTTTTTTTGCTTTTAGACTAGTCGGATACAAAACTTGTTTAAACAACAGTCAAATTAGTCGTCGCGCACATCCCTAATATACACCTAGGATGCCTCGGGGGTAAGTAAAATTCATTTTTGGGTGAACTAACCCTTTAAGTTTATCAAGAGTTAATGTAAGAGTTAAAACATATAATGTTACAAAAAAAGTATTTAAAAAATGCTGTTTTTTTAACATTCTATTCATCAAAGAATCCTGTAAAAAAAAAAAAAAAAAAAAAAAAAACTCCTGAAAAATCAGCTCTGTGATCACAGGAATCAATTATATTTTATTCTAACATAAGTGACTTCTTTCAAAACTATTTAAAAAAAATCTTACTAACCCCAAAGTTTAGAAAGATAGTGTACATTATCACTCTCAGTTTTACATGCAATTTACATTAATAAAGATATTCTCAATAATTAGTGCAAAATATAACTACTGTATACCCAAAGACGGTTATGCACAAAAAAAGCTATACAGTGTGATGTAATTAAAACAATCAATAAGAGAGGCAAGTAAACACACACCTGACTTCCACAAGGTCATTGGGCTTGTAGCTGGGGTGCAGGAAGAACCAGACTTTCTTCACAAAATGATCGATACTGGGCTCTTTGCGAGAACCTCGAACATACACCATCCATTTATGAGTGGACTGATCGTTCTCCTCACGTTTATCAGGGGCAATATACCTGAAAGAGAGAGAAAAAAAACAACAGTCTAAAAATCAAACTCAAATCAATTTATAGTTGCATGCATACATTTACTAATTGGTTGGGGAAGATATGTCGTTGCCAACGTAAACCTCCCAGTAACCCTCAGAACAGCCAACTATACTGTTATATTTAAACATTAAACTCTAAATGTCACTCTTCAAGATTCAGTTTGTAATAGCACAGCAGCAGTTTTGCTAGGTATCCACTCAGTAGCAGCAAGGATATAAGTTCAGTTTATTTGCACATGTTGTGAGTTTCTTTTCAGCTCAGCATGCATAGCGGATTTTCAGCTACCTGCCTCAGTAATGTGATTTGTGCACTTCATTTTGAGTTTCTTGGGAAACAAGCATCTGCTACAAACATAAATGTAGAATGCAGAGCCATTCAGAGACCCTTTATTCAGATAAACAGCTTAAGAAGGTGAGTTTTTCCAGCACACCAGCCCTGGAGTAAACAGTCTCAAAGATCTTTAGTAGCTCTGCAGGCAAAAAAAAAAAAGAGCTTACATCATTGCTCATATGCAGACACACACACTGGTGTCACTCTCACATGCTCTGGGTGCATTTTATGAGGTAAAGTAGATGAGGACTGTGTGATAATGCGGTTAGATCGCTGCCTAGGGAAAACTAAAGCTTTGCGCCATGTGAAAGTTTATTGGGTTTCGGATAAATAATACTGAGATTTTCAGGAGAAAGTGATGCATTTAAAAATTAATACAAGCTCAGAGAAATAAATACGGTTTCTCATAAAACCATCTGTCCACATTACAAACTGCTACCATTCATTCAGCAGCTGTTTTTTTCTGTTTGTTTTGACAGAAGAGCAAAATACATTTGTTCAATCAAAAATGAAAACTGTCATCATTTACTCACCCACGCCATTCTTCCTAATAATGTATCGAACATACTTTTCCAATTTTACGTAGCTCCTTACTACAGCTGTGCAATACTCAAAGTCTTCTGAAGTCGTACAATAGTTTTTTAAAAAGAACAAACCAGAATTTAAGTCTTCATTCACTGAAACCTCTGACATTGTATTTCACCTTGGTATGTTCACGACAGATATTTGCTTGTGTTCCACAGAAGAAAGTCATTCATAGAGGTTTAGAATGATATTAGGTTGACATAAAAGTAACAGAATGATGATGGAATATTCATTTTTTTGGTGAACTTTTCCTTTAAGGTTGCAGAGCCGAGAATAAGGCGTCCTACTCAAGGGCACACCAGCATTGTTCAGAGAAAGAGCACAAACATCAGTCAGGATCCCAGAGGTGCTAAATCAAAACTCTCCAGTGCAATAACAAAAATTTAGGCCAGAATGCCTCTGGATGTTGAAATAAAAACTGATCTACACTACAAACAAATGGTAAAATATTCTTCAAATCACACAGGGCTCACGCTATGCGTGCAACAGCAATTATGCTAATATAGTAAAATTAAAATGAGTAATATCTGATCTGTAAAATAAGGGCAAAGAGACAACCGTAATGCTTCATACTTAGACACGTTGCCCACAACAATGGTTTTCTTCATGTAGAGCCGAGAAGCCTCATCTCCTGTAGTGTGGTAAGTCACATGCTGCTCTAAGGATGATGGCACACCAAATGTGTCCTACACATGGGCATGTAATAAAAAAAATGTTAATGTCAGGTACTGTAGGCATAAAGTAACAGTGCTGTAGCATTTTCAAGCCATGCAAACCCTCAGACTTATGTTCTGATAGTGTGTGGGCTACTAACTTTTCCTGTGTTCCTGCCAGGTCGGCGTTCACGTGGAGCGCCGTCCTCTCTCCCACTGTCCATCTCCCTCTCCCCAGCCTCCCCATGTTGGCTGAGGGACTCGGTCTCAGACTGGACCTGTGATGGGGTCTCTGAATTCTGGTTCAGTGGAGACGAGGAGCGGGAGGGGGAATCCAAGAAGCGTTTTATGGCAGGGTGGTTCAGCACAGATGGGTCACTTTTAGAGGCCTGGAAGCAAATGAATCAGTAATCAACTGTTTGTGCTTAGAGTTAGAGGAAATTTCAACAAAGCAGCAACAAAACTGGAAGTTTGTTCATGCAGAATGATCAAAACCAGAAGTTTGTTTTTTTACATATATTAAGTGCAACAATAATTGCCCACTTTTTCGGCTACCTTGGTTCCAGAAGTATTTTCCCATTCATTCAAATCCCATAGAGATATTTAAAAAGTATTTGTTTATGAGTCATAAGTTATGAACAAAACCAACCAGCTATGAGGTGAATCACACCACTACAAACTTTTATTTGAGGCAAAAAGTATTTGAAAATCAGACAAATACAAAGGTACAAGACTGTATACTTAACTTTAATAAGGGAAAGAATTACTACACCCCCATGAAGCATTACTAACTATTTAATCAAATTAAAAAAGATGGAGAAATATATAATTATACTTAAAATCAATAGTTCATATATATATATATATATATATATATATATATATAGAGAGAGAGAGAGAGAGAGATAGATAGATATACACACACACACGTTTACATTGTATATATACATTTATTGCATATTATGCAAACAAATATGTAAGTAGATATAATACTATATGTAGTATTAACCTCTCTAGGAAATTCGAAATGCATCATGGGAGTGGGCAGACGATAAAGAGTTTTTTAGTGTGATTTGGTGATTGGTGGAGACTTTTTGCAGAATCACAGGTCATGTATTTTGAAACATTAACAACCTCATAGATCACAGCAGGCCTGTCTTTAATGATTTATAAATTATAATTTAAAGGGTTAATTCACCCAAAAATGAAATTTCTGTCATTAATAACTCATGTCGTTCCAAACCCGAAAGATCTCCGCTCATCTTCGGAACACAAATTAAGATATTTTGATGCATCCCGTAAGCTCTCTGACCCTCCCATAGACAGTAAGTGTCCTTACATGATCAAGGTCCAGAAACATAGCAAGGACATCGGTAAAATAATCCATATGACATCAGGGGTTCTGGGTATGACGCAGCTGACACAGAATAGCATACGCCGTTTACGTTCAGTGGATATTTTCCAAAATGGCACTAGGGTGGCGAGGAGGAGACGAAGTCCTTTTTTTTTTCTTTTGCGCACAAAAATATTCTCGTAGCTTCGTAAAATTACGGTTGAACCCCTGATGTCACATGGATTATTTTACCGATGTTTCTGGACCTTGATCGTGTAAGGATCATTGCTGTGGGTCAGAGAGCTCTTAGATTCCATCAAAAATATCTTAATTTGTGTTCCGAAGATGAACGGAGGTCTTACGGGTTTGGAACAACATGAGGGTGAGTAATTAAAGGGTTAGTTCACCCAAAAATTAAAATTAGCCCATGAATTACTCACCCTCAAGGCATCCTAGGTGTATATGACTTTCTTCTTTCTAGGGCTGGGCGATTTTCCCGATTAATTCAAATTTATTGTTTTGCCACGATTTTATTTTTTAGAAATCGAGGAATCGCGATTTTGAATAGAAATATTACCAAATGTTAGAATTAGACACTTTGACAATATGCCGGTGATAACAGTAAAGAGAAACGAATGATCCAACCGCACGTCGGCGCATGTGATTAACCGCTCATGTGTGACGCGCTCTGTGAAGTACCATTAATATAGCGCTAAACGCCATTCACACAGAATGCGCTTTTGTGTAGACAAAGATGCGACACGGGCAGTGGAATAGGTAAAATATGCAAGAAGATGGGAGTGAACTTCTTTTACTTGAGTGCAGTGTTTTAGAATGGCATTTCATGCATAATACACTGCAAGAGACGCGAGCAACAGTCAAACACATCCTTGCTTACACTGAAAAAACTATGGAAAAGCAGCGCAATCGAATAAAAAACCTGTAAAGAACTACTACTGTATGTCTGATATTTCCTGTTTGCATCATGGTGACAGGCTGAAAGCTGCTGTTGTTTTTACAGAACATTTATAGTTAATGATAGTCTACTGGTGTTATACCTTCAGTCATTTGGAATTTGAATTACTGTGACTTTTGACATTTTTTTAAAAGCATTTTCCTCGTATTATTTCTGAACACACAATATGTATAAGACAAGTTTGTACAATATGTACTTGTAGTTTATGCATATTTTCTGCAAAGATATTTAACAAGTGATTTGTTTAACATTTACATCATGTTGACAACTTCATGCGTGCTGCACTTAGAATAGAATTTTCTTTAACTAGAGGGTTAATAAAGAAAAAGTAACTTGAATCATGTTGTAGTTACATTTACAAGTTGACTAGTTAAAAATCGTTAAAAAAAAAATCGAGAATCGGTCAAACATTCTAGAAAAATCGAGATTTAAATTTTTTGCAAAATCGCCAAGCCCTACTTCTTTCAGACGAATCCAGTCGGAGTTATATCAAAAATTGTCTTTGATCTTCCAAGCTGTTTAATGGCAGTCAGCGGGTGTTGCAGTTCATCAGTCCAAAAGAAGTGAAATAAAGCACATCCAGCCATAATAAAAAGTGCCTCACACGACTGCGGGGGGTGAACAAAGTCCTCCTGTAGCGAATCAATGTGTTTTTGTAAGAAAAATAATCATATTTAAAACGTAATAATCAATTTAATCTAGCTTGCGCTCACTGTTGTACAAGGAAGCAGTTCCGGGTGGATGACGTATGGAGGTCGGCTTGCGCATGCGCCGCTCAGAAGTGACGAACGTGGAAACGCAGCGGAGAGATCAAAACAAAACAACGGTCATGAATTAGAAGTACAAAACGAGGATTTGTAAAGAAGAATGTCAGAGAATTTTGATATAAGCCAAGAGGAGACTGGTTTTCCTTTGCTAAAGGAAGGACACTTTGTTTCATTTGCTCCTGTAAACAAACGTTGGTTTTCACGAGACTCACCAGCGCATGCGCAACGCTGACCTCATACGTCATGCTCCCGGAACTGCTTCTGTGTACAACTGCTGGCGCAAGCTAGATTAAAGTGATTATTACGTTTTGAATATGGATATTTTTCTTACATAAATGCTTTCGATTTGCTACAGGACGCCTTTGTTCACCCCTCGGAGCCGTGTGAGGATGTAATGGATGGATGCGCTTTATTTCACTTATTTGGACTGATGAACTGCAACACCCACTGACTGCCATTAAACAGCTTGGAAGATCAAAGACGATTTTTAATATAACTCCGATTGGATAGTAAATAATGGGCTAATTTTAATTTTTGGGTGAACTATCCCTTTAAAATCAACTGCCCTATGGAGAAAATGAATAGTATTTTTACTTCTGGAACTCAACTGTTTTACTCTATTGACAAAATGTATCAGTGCATCTAATCTCTATAGATTACCTCGGGGACTTTAGGCTGGCCAGCATTGGCATAGTAGTTTGCAACAATGCACGCTCTGAGCTTGTCCATCATTCTCCTGGCCTCATTCAACCTCTGAGGGGGGAAAAAAAACAGATAATAGTTCAGCTTTTAAAAGTCATGTAGTGTACTACAGGTTTAGGTGTTTACTTTGTCTCAAGAACTTTGATTTTTAAATTAAGTGTTGACATTGTACCCATAATTGAACTTAAATACAGTTTCTTAGTACGTTGTTGCACTGCTGATTAAAGTACTTCTGGACTAACAAAGCACTGCTAGTCCTAAAATAAAGTGAGTATTGGATGATTACCTGCCCGATAACCTCGATCTCATGCTCTTTATTCTTCATCTCAAGAGAAAACTGATCCTTGATGATCACTTCAATCTTCTGCACTGCAGCTTCACAGGCTGGTAAAAATCAAACAAGCAGATTAAAAAACGACTTGTGTGATACTTTACATCACTGTTAGGAACCTAGTCTTACCATTCTGCTCCACCACTTTACTCCTCTTGTTCTCCTGAACTTGAGTGATGTCCTCATAGTCAGGATCTTTGTCCTCTATTTTCCTTTTCACCCCAGACATGATCACTCATTGGTTGGACTGCACAGTGCACAACATGTCACATAAACAACAACAAACTTGTACAGGCACACAGAGTCTGAGTCTCAAAATTTAGTTGCTTACCTGCTTGCTTGTAATGTCTAACAATGCGTCCTAGGTAGGCAGCTTGTTAGATTTTGAGACACAGCCCTACTATATGAGCATACAAGTGTCATTATATTTCCTTGACAAACTGATATTAGTTGTTGCAGAGGTTTAAAAACAACTAACAGAAATAAGTCGCTGCTAATCTGACACACACACACACACACACACAAGCTAAATAAAGCAACAGCTTTATAAGCAGTTATTGCACAACTCACACCACTAACGCTTTTCTAAACTGCGCAAAACGTGACGTAAACACGCACAAGAGTGGTCAGTGTGTTTATTTACACGGTAAACCTACGCTGAATTGGCTTGTGAGATGTTTAACGGTGAGGCGTTAGCCGTTAGCTTCGGTTGGTCTCGCGCACACGAAAGTCTCGCGGGGACACACGAACTCGAGCGCGCGGCCTACATTAGCGAGATCAGGGGTTTGAAGCTGGGATCCGGGGCCCCCAGTGGGTCCGTGGACATATTTAGACGAAAAAAGTGTTAAAGGGGTCATATGACGTTACATAAATAAATAAATATCACACTACTTTAAAGAATAGGAAACATATAATGTATATAGTTGACCACAGTATAAATTGGGTCTTTATACAAGAAACTCAAACTACATTATCTTTAACATTTTTTAATTAAAACATCGAAAAGATTGAAAACCCCTGAGCTAGGAGAACATTATTGGGCCTGTACCTGAGCAGAGAGCTAAAATATTATATTCAAATATTATATATTCAAATTAGTTATTTTATTTTTGCAAATATCTGCTTCAGATTTCAGTTCAATGCACACACTGCCTACCTGCCGCTTAACCTCACACATTTAGGTTTTCAGTTCATCTCACGGATCTGCCAGGAGCAAAAAAAAACATGTTTTGTTTACATGTAGTCCCTATATTGTATTTCTGAAAAATACATTCCGCCAGGAGACAGTATATGCTAGAAAATAGATGGAAATTTTAAACCTTCACCGAGTTAGGCCATGCTATACCCGAGTCTGACCAAAGGGTGGCGCTGAAAACCACATTTACAGCAACATCTCACCATAAGTCAATAGTGTAATTCTGCTCATGCATGTTTAAAAAGGAAACACCTTCTACTCTGGCATTATACACATTTAAATTTTTTGGCAACTACTTATAAAAACTGAAATGAAAATTAATAAAACTATATAGTCATATATTTAAAAAAAAACAAAAAAAAACTAGTAAAAATAAAAAAAACTAACATTTTAACTCAAATTAAAATAAAAATGGAAAATGTAAATATGAAAACTGATTCAAAATATTAATACAATTTGTAATAGTATCTCAATGTTACTAAAACAGCACCGTTGTGTAAAAAATGTTAAGAAACATATCATTTTCGTATTTTTCATACCATTTCCACTTAGGTATTTGCAGCTTCACATTCAACCTGTACCCTTTCCTTGTCTCTTAAAATAGCACTTAAGTCATCAGTTCCAAGCAGCTCTATATCAACACATCAATACTTCAGCCTTCATCACCTGAGGGGCTCTGCTTTAACTAATAATGAACATTACAAGAAAATGCCAGCATTATAAGAATTCACATTGTCATCATGCTTGTTGCTTACTATCCCATATTTCCATTCATAAAGGAAACTTGTCAGTAAGTTTCATTTGTCACACCAGAGCAAACAATTTCATTTAGATTTTACAAAGGTAATGGCACTTTTAACAATTGCAATTGTCATGAAACATTGTCTCAGGTATAAAAATATTACAGTCACAAAGCAACAGTGGCAAGAAACCTTGAGAGCAATCAGCGCTCAAGGGAAGGTCATTATTTTCTCTTCTGCCTTTCGCTGATGCTTGAAGAAAATAATATTGTTTTAGAGGTCAGCTTTAATAAGGAGTCAACAGAATGTTGCTTTTTAAAATATATTATTTTGGTTCATTTGAATATGCCTTCAGCTACCAATAACACTACTCTCCGCCCTGGTGAAAGATTTTCACAATAAATACATTCTGCAGATTTCCCCTCAAAATTAGCACAGAAAATGCATAAAGTCTGGGCCTAGGCATGAGCTGAGACATGTACATGTATGGGGCAAACTGTTTGGGCTAAACTTAAAAGCCTTGACCAGTTGTAAAGATGGTTATGGCTCCATAACCATCTGAATTTAACAATTGCCAGGTGTTATGCGGTTAAGACAAAATGGGTTAACAAATGCTTATAACTTGAATATAAAAAATAAAAACAAATCTGAACCTCAGGCAAGAAAAAAAATCAAATAAACAAACAAATAAAACAACATACACTATATTTTGTTTTTGAATATGAAAGTTCACTAAATTCTAAATGCCTAATTCAACTAATAGATTCATAAGGCAAATGCATATTTTGTGTTCAGCAAACTTTAATTTTTCTTAGCTGTATTTGTTTTATAATATATGCCATCTTTGTTTCTGCTGTATATAAATCATCTTTCAGCTAAGATATAGTTTTATATCCTACACACAACAACAACAAAAGTGTAAAGTCAAACAGCTAAACAATAATCCTTATTGTAACCACATAATTCACATTTCAATCCATGCTATAGGACAACTCATAAACGTCCAGTAAACTGTAAATATAGTAGCATTTGCTTTTTGTGTGTGTGTGTGTGTGTGTGTGTGTGTGTGTGTGAAGAGCTTGGGTAATCGTTCAGAATGGGGATTTTTTTTTTAAATTATGAGTGGGATTATGTTTTGTATCAACCTGACATATCTCCACCAGAGTATGAGGAATATAGCTTAGGTTTCCTTTTGAGGAATTTCCACTTGTGAATAATGCACAAGTACTCCAAGGAATGCTTGTTTCCATAACCACAAGTATGAAGAGGGCTGTACAAACACATACTTCATGCTTCAAGATATTCTGATGAAGTTATATGAAATGTCAACATAAATCATTGCAAATGAACTTTTTTATTGAGGCACTTTTGCAGTTTTACAAAGTATGGTTTATTATTATTGTTATATTTGAAACATGTCCAATATTTCTTATGCTTTGGACTCAATTACAGCTACAGTTTCATTCCACTGAAATGAAATGTTTCGAATCTGCATTTTTAGGATTTTCTACTGCAACAAAAATACCAGGTTATACTTATGAATGAGCTGAAAACCAACCCAGAGCTTGGACCAATTGTGTCCATACAATCCTACAAAACACCACATCTATCCCAGACAAACAATATAAAGCTGGGTTTGAAAAACTGTCAGATATTATTTAAAAAATAGCATAATGGAACATACATTATGTTGGCAAAATAACATTTACAAAAATTTAGACCAGTACAGCTGGTAATAATCAAAATGATCGAAGGACAAATCAACATTATGTATATGAAAACATATAAATAAGTATATACAGACACACTTATATTTTTGTCATTGCAGGCAGAAATGCAGGAGACGCAGTGCTTTGGGTAAACTAGCTACCAGCATCCTGCCTAACACATTCAGATTAATTACACAAAATTATTCTGACAGGTAAATGTCTGCTTACAGTACTGATAAGTACTAGAGCAGAGACTGCAGTTATCTTACTGCTAAACATGAAAACAGTTCCAGGTTAATTTGAACACGCACAACCATACACGCAAACACAAGAATTTACGGCAGTCCAACTCAAAAATTCTGATGCTATCTACAGCTGTGAGATTGTTTACAAAGCACAACATAAAACAACACAGATAACATTAAATGAGTAGAATGTATTTACATTGCCATACAGGTGCATCTCAATAAATTAGAATGTTGTGGAAAAGTTCATACTTTCCAGAAGGCCAACAATTCACTAAAAATGTTTTTTTTTATTGGTCTTATGAAGTATTCTAATTTGTTGAGATAGTGAATTGGTGGGTTTTTGTTAAATGTGAGCCAAAATCATCACAATTAAAAGAACCAAAGACTTAAACTACTTCAGTCTGTGTGCACTGAATTTATTTAATACACGAGTTTCACAATTTGAGTTGAATTACTGAAATAAATGAACTTTTCCACGACATTCTAATTTATTGAGATGCACCTGTATATTACTAACACTAGTACATACAAGTGCATGATTGGGGCTCTGATAAAAAAATGTAAAAAAAAGATCAGAAGGGCACATCCTGGTTGTCACACTAAAGATAAGGAGACGCTTAAATACAGATCTGATACACAGGAGAAAAAAAAACAGTTTCACAGCTGTACGGTTCATCAAGAACCTATAAGAACCTGACGTGACAATTCATTGACCAAAATCAGAGCTGTCCATCATTGAGGTGTGCAGTTTCCAGCCTTAGGTTTTCAAATGCTTAGAATGCAAAAAACTCCTCATACAGCATGTCCGATGTAGTATTTAAGTGCTTTCTTTTACTTAAAAAGCTCAGAAGCATAATATGATGTAAAAAGTGTAAAAAGCACATTAAAATCACCCCAAGACTGAACCTAAAACAAGTTTCTGTCTGCAGACTTTACAAACGTTGTCAAAATGCAAGAATAATGCTACAAAATAACAAAGAAATCAAAAAGTTAAAGGCATAAACAAATGCACATTTAAAAAAACATAAAAAATTACAAGAAAAAGAATTACAAAAATCTTAAAAAAGAAAGAAAAATAGTAAAGGAAGTGTGCATTTTTTAGAGTCCTTTTATAAATCCAGGACATCAAAGGTGATTACTCCATCAGATCGGACTCATTCTCTGAATGAATTTCAGTTATGAGGAAGGTTATGTTTTACATACTTGTTCCAGAAAAAAGTCCGTTGACTGCTGCCTTTCAGATAATAACAGCTTTGGAATGATGATGAAATCAACTGTCGCAGTTAAACAAGGTGCTCCTCCTACAGTGCATGTAGATGTATATATGTTAACTGCATAAGCGATAGAAAAAATATCAGTGGTCCCTCAATATAAGTGATGTAAAGTTGATATGCACGTAAGAGTCTACAGCTCCATGTTTGGGACAGTTTAGATGTACGTTTGCAGATGCTTTCAGGGTTTGTGTTGTTTTTCGCTGAAACGGTGTATGGTAACACAGCCATGGTAGGAGATGGGACGAGGCATAGCAGCCGTGCATGTGATGATGCCAGAGGCCGGGTCGTAGCACACAATATTGTCAGAGGCTTCGCCGTTTTCTCCCCGTCCACCCAGGATGTA